TAACAAATTCAATGCGATCAATTTCAATCCTTAAAAGTCGAACAAATCATTTATCCTTAAATCACATGATACACACATCCGTAGATATAATTGCTTAAAACCAGAATCTCTAAAGAGAACAAAATTCTCTTCAACCACTAAAGTCACTTGATAAATTCATTTATGAACGTATATATAATTTGATGAAATTAAATATTTATAATCTATTTCAAAGTTGACGTTAGATTCAATCATCTAAGTAAATTACGGCTTATAAATACCAAAAAGGTCAACTGCCAACTTAAAATGTTATAACAACTAATTAACAAGTTACTTCTCAAGATGCAGCCGAGTTTACAACTGACATTAAAACTTGTTGCACCTTAAAAGTAGACATAGCTCACTTATTATTGACTTATAAACGTATATATATTTTTGGTACAGAGACTACTTATGTACTGACCTACTACCTTACATTGAAGGTAAAGTATGCATAAACCAAACAATCTTAATGGTTAAAAGATTTATTATTGTCCCTTTAAGGTCTCAAGTTCAAGCATCGCGTATACCATAAGTATGAGTGTTTATTGTCAAAATAATTATTAGATTTTATAAAGCTATTACAAAAGAGAAAATAACCTCAGTGACCGAAAATGCCTTATAATATACGATTTTAATCAACTTTTTTTGGATTTGCCAAAATGACCAACAAATTCGCAACGCGAACTCCAATTTCGCAACCCAGTTTCCAATTTCGCAACGCGAATATGTAAATCGCATTGCGATTTTCCAAATTCGCGTTGCGATTTTCCAAATTTGCAACGCAAATATGTAAATCGCAACGCAAATTTGTAAATCGCAACACAGAAGTCAAATTCACAACACAAAAGTCAAATTCGCAATGCAGAATTTCAAAATTCATAATTGAATTTCAAATTCGCAACTAGATTTTCGAATTCGCAACACGAATTTAATTTCGCAATAGATTTTAGTTTCGCAACATAAATGTTTTGGGTATATAACAACGCAGCAGCATCAACTCATAATCTAAATCCCTAAATCCTAACTCATTCCATCTCCATCTATCACTCTCTCCGACGACATCCGTTCCTATATCCAACGACATCCTTCCCCGTCTCTAATTTTTTTTTACATAATTTTATTTCTATATAATTTTTCAATGATTTCTCTCCCAAATTATCAACTATCAACTTAATAAAGGTATGTTTTTCTCTAAGTTAGTGATGATATCTAGTTTATAGCTCGTTTGTTTAGTAAATTAATTTACAATTTGTAGAATGAAATCATCTAATGTTGATCATGTTTGGATAGATTTGTGTTTTGGAGTGTCATGGGAGAATGTTCATGGTGTTTTACAATATGTTCCTTTACCCATGAATCTTCAACTAAAACTGTCATTAAAAAAGTTAACTTATGAAACTCTAATGTTACGTGTTGCAAAGAAATTGAATTTAGAGCCTCTAAATAGATTTAGGCTATCTTATCAGAGAAAAGGTAAAGTTTATTTGTTAACCGACAATGAAGATGTTGAACGATTCATTGCTTACATTAGTGTATCGCAAGAAGGATGATGTTACATTGTATGTTGTTGAACCTAGAAGTAGTGAAGTTGGGTCAGTAGCGGGTAGTAATCAACTAAGTTCTTCAACCCCAGTTAATGGTGCTCACAATGTACAACATTGTTATCAACCTCAAAATTTAATGGTTCCACCACAATTTCATCACCAAGAAAATTTTGTTTCACCACATTTCCAATACCAAACACAATATCAAACACAATCTCAAAACCCACAACCTTTTCCTAATCCAAATCCCAATCAACTTTCAGCACCAAATTTCGGTTTTCGTATTGACCAGTTAGACGATTATGAGCCAATAGAAAAAATTGTGAGTACTAGTCAGCATTCGAAATTTGATCTTGGTCAATACCCGGACTTTGATCTTGGTCAATACTCGGATTTTGATGATGTGATGGAAGAAGAAACAGACCCTGCATGTAATGATTTTGATATTGGTCAATACCCAGATTTTGATGATGAAACAGCCGCTGCCAAGGAAGATGTTGTTGATGATAATGAGGAGGAAGTTACAACTGTGAATGAACATGTTGAACATCCATTTTGTAATTCATATAACCCTGAAGAAGAAAAAGAAGAAGAAGAAGTCCCCGAAGAAAAGAAAAAGAAGAAAATGCCATGAGAGTATAACTGGAATATGCCAAAATTACTTCAGATACCGGAAGAAGAGTTGGTAAAGATACCAGTTGATTGTTACACAAAAGTTATTCGTATCAAAAAAGATGATTTTTTTGATACAAAGGAAGACTTGAAGATAGCTTTGTATACGAAATGTGTGGAAGATGGCTATCAACTAAAAGTTAACAAATCAAGCAAAGATCGTTTCGAAATAAAGTGTATGATTGACAAAAACTGTACGTGGCGTATGATTGCAAAGAGGATAAAAGATTGTGAAATGTTTCAAATTAGGAATTTTATTGATAAACATACATGTTCAAGAACCCAAGTTTTTCCTCACCATAGACAGGCAAACAAAAAAGTGTTGGTGGTTTTCTGGCTGAGTTAATGTTTTTGAATGGAAGGGTATATCGGGGACATGAAATTATGACTGATATGAATGCCCGGTTCAAGATTAGTATCACATATTCTCAAGCTTGGAGAGCCAAATGTTATGCCTTGGAATTGTTGAGGAGGTCGCCAGAAGCATCGTTTGCCCAACTGACAGCTTATTGTCACAATTTAAAGCTGAAAAATCATGGTTCGGTAACTCATATCAAAACACATAGAGATTGACGCTTTGAGTTGTTGTTTATCGCCATTGGTGCTGCGGTTAGTAAATAATTATAATTTTGTTGACTCATTTTTGTTAGTTGCATGCATTTCACATTTAAATGATTATATTTCTTGTGTATATGATTTTGTAGATTCGTTCGTTTATTACTTGCATGCGCCCAGTTATTATAGTTGATGGAGCACATTTGAAAGGTCGATACCTTGGAGTAAACTTATTAGCAGTAACCATGGATGCTAACAATGGGATACTACCAATAGCTTACGGGGTTGGTAAATCTGAAACCTCTGATTCATGAACATGGTTTATGGGGTATCTTAGGGATTGCATAGGTCATATTAGCAATCTGACAATCATATCCGATAGGGCAATCTCAATTGACAACGCTGTTAGAAGGTGTTTCCCAGATGTTTTTCATGGACTTTGTGGTGCTCATTTGTACAGAAATCTAAAATCAACGTCTGCTGGTATAAAAAATCACAGATGGACATACTGGAAGGCTATAAAAGCTTATCAGGAAGTGGATTTTAATAAGCATATAAATTGTTTAAGACGTTTTTTGCCTCAATGTGCTCAAACACTAGAAGATGTCGGGTTTGAAAGATGGTCAATAGTACATCAACTTGGAGCAAGATATGGTTTCATGACATCTAATAGTGCAAAATCAATCAACGCTCTAAGTCGTCATTCCTGAAAATTACCCATTACTATGTTAATGGAGTTTTTTCGAGCCTCTATTCAACAGTGGTACTACAAGAAAAGAAACCATGCAGGTATTATTTCTTTAAATTCGTAACTTATCATATATTTTACTAAGTATTATTTATTTAAATTTACAGGAACATTGGAAAGTCGTGTTACACCATGGACTGAAAAAAAGATAATGAAATGTGTTGTGAAGTCAACGTCATGGAGAGTTGAACCATGTTCAAACACTTTGTTTGAAGAATTGGAAAATAACTTAAATGAGCTTTTCGATCTAAATGCAAAGACGTGTAGTTGTAAGAAATGACAAACTTCTGGTATCCGTGTGACCATGTTATAAAAGTTGCTCTTCATCTAAACCAAGATGATTCAAGCGCATACGCTATGGATTGCTACACTACAGAAGTATATCGACAGACTTATGCCGAGATTGTCTACCCATGTCCACATCCTTCTAAGTGGGACATACCAGATGACTTACAAATAATTTTTCCACCAGTCATGGACAACAGGCTACATGGCCGACCAAAAAATCATGATCGTATACCGTATAAGGGTGAAGAGAAGAGGATATCGACATGTAGTCGGTGCAAGGAAAGTGGTCATACAAGGTTGACCTGTGGATCACCAGTGCCGTCACAATCATCTTTTCCTCTACCAAAAAATGGATCCTCATCAAAATCCAAAGCTAATATGGTGACAAGCAAAAGGAAATCAAAATCGCAATCAAAATCAAAATCCCAATCACAACCGGCTTCACCTTTTGGGACTTATTAACTTAGGTTATTTTTAAATGCAAACATTGTATTATGTGTATTTTATGTGTGAATGCATACATTTTCAGTTAGACATTCATTAGTAACTTGAGTTTGAACATTGCTATGATTTGTTCAGTTGTTATCATGTTGGGATTTTCTCTTGTGTTTGATTGCTTGGATAGTTGTTCTCTTGCTTCTTCAAGTGTCATTAGCTTGTATTTATAACTTGGAATGTGTTTGATGTTGTATATAACTTGATGTTGTATGTTGCGATCAATGCGAAAGTCAAATTCGCAACGCAAAATAAGCGTTGCGATAGTCAAATTCGTAACACGAAAGTCAAATTCGCAACGCGAAATCGCAAACCGAAAATCACAACGCGAATTTGACTTTCGCGTTGCGAATTTGACTATCGCAACGCTTATTTCGCGTTGCGAATTTACCTTTCGCGTTGCAACTTTGTACCTTCAACATGTCTTTTTTGCCTTCAACATAATGCAGATTGAATTTAAAACAACAAATCAACTTTTACAAATCAATTAAACAAGCAAAAAAATAATTCGTATTTACACATCAAATTAAACAAATCAACTTTTACAAATCAATTAAACAAATCAACTTTCAATGTAAAATTCAATTTAACAAGCAAAAAAAAGTGTACCCAGACTGTTGTTTATGCACAAATACATCAATTTCACGCAGCTCACGTCAGGAATAACCTGCAGAAACCAAAACATTTGCTCAAACAACACTTTCTTCACATATAAAACCAACAAACATCAAATTATTGAATTCTAAATACTTAACCAAACATTTTCAAACCAACAAAGAGTATATATGTTAACAACACTTGCTCAAACTTACCAATTTTTTATGCAAACTTTCAGCACGCGGATGCAGGTAGGCAACGTCTCGCATATATCGCTCGAGCCATAAAATGCTGAAACCATAAGCCTACTGGACCTCTATCTCTATATGTGGGAGGTAGAAGGTGTTTACTTCCTGTCGTCAAACGCTCCAAGCACATGCATACAAGAGGACCACAATCCCCTCTGGCTCCCTCCGTTTGTTGTGGCGCGGTATCGTCTCTGATCATTATAACTTTGAACTTTTTTTAATCCAATAATCAATCATGTTCAAGTATTTCGCCAAATGAGCGCTTCATCCCTTACAAATAATATCTATCAAATCAGACAATGGTATGTAATTCAACATGCTGTCATATATCATTATCTTCAGGAATGGGAGCTGAAGCTCGACGAGAAGCCAATGACGACGTTCCAAAATAGGGATAAACACCTGCAATCATAAATAATTACGCACATCAAATAAAATTTATAAAAACCTTTAAAATATTCAAAAAATAAATTTTAACCTTATCGACCTCCCACCACACAGGATAAAGTTTAGATTTTCCATTACCCAACGTATATGAAATATCTCTTGGATCTTTCAAGTGAGCTACGTGAAAAGACATCGGCATAATAGTCCATCGAGTATTTTTTATTTTCCTCAATTTCCTTATTATTAGAAGACGTGACACCCATGCATCAATATGATGTTTTATAAAAAAAATACATATATTAGTGAATTTATTAATAATTTAAAAAAAATTTAATCAAAATGCAATATAAGAAGAATATAAGACTTACCACCCCTTCGAGATAGTCATTATCTTCAACCCATAATAAAATACCCCACCAAGACCGATCAAGAAACAAATGCATAACATCGTCGAGTTGGCATAGGTCAGAATAACACCCATTGCTCCGCTCATGTAGATAAAAATCAACTGCGATCTTAGCCCAAAGGGTATTATCCGTAGTTGTGTCCGGTAGTGTTTCCTTCTCCTACTGAGCAATGGTACTGGCCAGTAACACATACGAAAGCCAACTCGCATCCATCATATCAGGCACGGAATGGGGTTTATCAATATATCGACATATGACGCCATGTGAATCGGGCTCTTGAACGGTGGGCGGGACCTCTTGAACGATGACAGGGACCTCTTCAATGATGAGAGGGGCCTCTTGAACGATAGGAGGCGTCTCTTGAATGATGATAGGTGCATCAGGCTTCTTCTTACGGAGTCTTGGCACTAGTGGGGTAAACAGAGACGTAATGGCACGTGCACGACGTCTGATGCGTGAACCCTGTCGTACAAGAAAAACCCAACGTAAAGCATTTACCTTATCGGGCTGCTGAAAATAAATAAATAATGCCGAAAAAAGGTTATTTGCATTTTTAGTATAGTATTAAACAAATTTACCTCATTGCGTAGAGTATGAACCTCATTCTGTAACGATGAAACAATTTCGCGTAGAGCGGCAACCTCAGCACGTAAAGTAGATACCTCACCACGTAGAGCACCATTGCCATCGCATAAAAAATCCACCTCACCACGTAAAGACCGAACCTCATCACACCATGCACCATTATCTTCACGTAAAGTACCGACCTCATGACGCAAAGCACTGACCTCATCACGTAACTCCCCTAACTCATCCCGTGGAGGTGGAGAACAGGGAGATAAATGTCGTGGCCTCTTTGTCGACCGCCTATCATGAGGTAATGGTGGAGAAGAGGCTCGATGATGTGATAGAATAGGTGATGGTGGAGGTGGAGAAGAGGCTCGATCAGGTGATGGCTCCGGGTGTCGAGCTGTAGAATCGGCCCGATCAGGTGATGGCTCTCGAAGTGGGGGTTCTCATCATCCGTCCCATCAAAAAACCGCTTACTAGCTTGCCACCAATCAGTGGCAAGCTCAGCCTCTGTGGGTGTCAGCCTCTGTAATGGATAGTTGACCTCCTAACAATATAAAAGCTCAAACAAAGTTAAACTTGTACTAGTAATAACTTGTTTGTATATGGTATTATTTGTGTGTTAACTTACATAATTCATCTTCGTATATGGGAGTAACTCTTCCCAATCCAACATGCGGATCCTCTTCCAGGTAATAGCCCTAGGAATATCATTTGATCTTTTTATCGCATATGTCTGCATGCTGAGGAAAGCCTCAAATATCCAAATCTATAAACAATATAATACAAAAACATTAGTAATTATTAAATAATTAATTATAATTTTGGAAACATTATATAGAAATTCTTACCTTATAGGCCCAAGTAAAGCCTGTCAAAGTGTATTTAGAACCATCGCCCCGCAAACTTTTTCGGTCCTCAAAGGCAGACGAAAACTTCTTCCAGGTAGCTTTCCATAGATATGAACCCCACGAAAACAGGTTCCATGCATTTAGGTCCTCTACCAATAATATTAGGTCCTCAGAGATAGGTTGTCTGCCCTCTTTTCCTAAAAAGTCGGCATGAAAAAGTAATAAATGGCATACTCGGACAACATCAAGGTCATCCATCCGAGTAAAACCATCTTTAACAAATAATCTCTTCAAGTCGTCGACGTGTAAACTCGGCTTCGACTTTGCCAGCTCAGGAAAAACCCGAGATAACCATGATGGGCGGGAGATATGACTAGTATATCGGGTTACTTCATCGTGTCCGAAGCGTAGACTAGTGGTTAAGTAAAACTCCTCCCGCCCAAAACAAGTATACGCCGATGGTGGAGGAAAATGAAACCATATCTCTTCATCACCACGTTGTATCCTCTCAGGTAGATCGTTAGTCATGGTCTGAATAAACAAATGTGTCAACATAACATCTCCACCCGTATGTTGTACTTTCAGCCATGGCCCGAAGCAAGTATCCTCAAACAATTTTCTTTGTAGAGGTGTAAGCGTCGACGCAATTTTAGTGGCTAGACTTAATTTATTCCTTAAGGTCAATGCAGTCGAAATATATTTCTACAAAAACAATAAACATACCAAGTTAGATATACCAAAAACTACAAATTATATACTATAAACAGACATGATATTAAACAGTGAAAACAAAGCCAAATATATTTTAAACTAGCACGGTATTCACATGCTATCATTATTCCATCATAGTTCACAAAATGCATCAAATAACATTCCTGAAGTAATCACTTATATAAACATTTAAAAGGATAACATATAGGTTTAGTGCAGGTTCAAGGACAACATAAAAAGTTGTTAGGATTTTTGGAAGCTCGAATCGATAACCGGAACGGTTTGCAAAGAGGGGTCGGAACAGTTTTGTGTTTAGGGAGTAAAGAGATTGAAAGATAGAGAATTGTACAGCGATTTATAGTGTTTAGGGAGTAAAGAGATTGAAAGATAGAGAAAACCTCTCTAAGGTAGGTGTTTACAAGAATTAAGCTCACAAGAACAAAATATTTACAAGAGAAAGATGAAATAAGAATGAAAAGCTCTTCTCTTGTGTTTGATTTCTTGGATGGTTGTTCTCTTGCTTCTTTCAAGTGTCCTTAGCTTGTATTTATAGCTTGGAATGTGTTTGAAGTCATATATAGTCGCTGGGGATGTTTTGGAACCGTTTGGGGATGATAAACAATTAATAAAACAGCTTGGAGCGTGGGGGAATCGATACCCTCTCATGGGGAATCGGTTCCCTAAGTGTAATCTGTTTTTGACCGTTTGACAGGGGGAAATCGGTACCCCCTGGGGGGGAATCGGTACCCCCTGGGGGGGAATCTATACCCCCTGAGCAATCTGATTTTTCTTGAAATCCTTTAAAAAGAAAATATTTTTGGATCGATTAAGGCTCGAAATACTTTGTAAAATTGTTTTAAAATAGTTTAAGTATAAAACACAATTTTACACTTTAGTAAGGATTAAAATGAACTTTGAAAGACTTGGAGTAATATTTTGATATTCGAATAATTACATCGAATATACTTAAAAAATCTTTTGTAAAATCTTAAAATTCATTTAACTTAATTTGTTATATAGAAACATCAAAATGTTTTCAACAATCTCCCCCTTTTTGATATAACAAAACATTTGAGTAATTTTAAGATTTTGAAATAAAGTTTGAAATTACTCTCCCTTACTTTAACACTTCTCCCCTTTAACACCTTAACACTTCTCCCCCTTTTTGTTAAATAAAAAAAGACTCTAATCTTTGAAGTTCAAAATAACTTTGGAGAGTAAGTAGTAAATTTGACATTTTAAAAATCATTTGAAAAAATCAAAGCTCCCCCTCAATAAATGCATTCCAAATAAAATTTTGTTTTTAGGATCTTGACACTTAAACAAAATTGAATTTCAACAAAGAATAACAAACATGTTAATAACATATGAAATTCAGTATATCCAAGACTAAAATACTTTATGCAATATCAATTGTTGAATTTAAGACCATATGCATAAAGTTTTCTAAAAATGCTATGCATTTGAAATTTTTTTATATCAATTATTATAGATATATCATTTTTATTTAAACCGCATGCATAAACATTCAAATTTAGGTCAAAATTTTTTAAAGATTTATAAAATCAAAGTATTTCAAAAGTTGATATTAATTGTTAGAGAGATATCATTTGCATTAAAACAAATTTTGACCAAAATTTTATTATGATGAACTAAAAATTCTGAAAAATCATTACAACTTTAAAATGTTCATCATAATCATATTTTCAACATATATGAGATTAAAACAATGATGCATAATCATTTAAAAGCAAAACTCATGCACGCTTAAAATCAAATGAGCAACCAAATAATCCAAAATTAAAAGTATTAAGCTTAGAGGTTACCCATTCATTTTTCATGTGAGGCTAAAACATCTTGAATATCATCATTTTCATCTCAATTGCTTCCACAAACCTACAAGAGACATTT